AGCAGCAAGACACGCAGCGGTGGCGGCAGACACAGCAGCTGCGGCAGACACAGCAACAGCAGCAGCAGCAGCAGCAGCAGCAGCAGCAGCACCATGTACCCTTCAGGCAGTCATGCCACGCCCAACTCCCACAGCGGCGGGGGCGCTGCTGCCTGAGGGGAACCAATTTGCTGCTGCTGCTGCTGCTGCTGCTGCTGCTGCTACTCCGGCGTGCTGCAGCAGCCGCAACTGCAGCAGCACGTGTAGAGACGCCGCGGGCGGCAGCAGCAGCACGTGCTGCATCCATTCGCAGCAAATGCTGCAGCAGCAGCGGCAGCACCGGCGGGCGCCGAAGGCAGCAGCAGCAGCAGCTGCTGTCTGCTGCAGTGCCGCTCGCCATAGGCAGCACAAGCAGCAGCAGCAGCAGCAGCAGCAGCAGCAGTGTCGTGTTGCAGCCGTCGGAGGTGCTGCTGCTACTCTTGCTGCAATGGACCCCGCAGCAGGAACAGACACGCAGCTGATTGCTGCTGCCGTCGCCCGCGTGCTGCACCTACAGCGACAGCAGCAGCAGCAGCAGCAGCAGCAGCAGCAAGTGAATGCAGCTATGCCGCTGTCTCTCCTCGCGTCCCAAATGGAATCTTTGCTGCTGCAGCACGGCATCCCCCCCTCATCTGGTCGCGGGTCGCTGCTGCAGCACCTGCTGCTGCAGCAATGGCCTGTGCTGCAGCAGCAGCTGCAGCAGCAGCAACTGCAGCAGCAGCAACTGCAGCAGCAGCAACTGCAGCAGCAGAACACGCTGCACCCACCAGCAGCACAGGAGCAGCAGCAGGAAAGGTCAGCCGCCCCCCGCCTTACCTTAGAAATTGTCGCATACCATCCGCAGCAACAGCAGCAGCAGCAGCGCCTGCAGCAGCAGCAGCAGCAGCAGCAGCAGGGTCTGTATCTGCTTGAGAAGGCCTGTGATCGTGCTCTGCGGCGGCAGGCCGTGGATGTGCTGCAGCAGTGGCAGCAAGCAGCAGCAGCAGCAGCTGCTGCTGCTGCTGTTGCTGCAGAAGCAGTGCGGCAGGCTGTTTGCTGCTCGCTGCAGCGAAGCGTGCNGCTGCTGCTGCTGCTGTTGCTGCAGAAGCAGTGCGGCAGGCTGTTTGCTGCTCGCTGCAGCGAAGCGTGCTGCAGTGTTGGGTAGCAGCAGCAGCAGCAGCAGCAGCTCGCCGACAAGAGCAGCAGCAGCAGCAGCAAAAGAAGGAAGCAGCACTGCTTCGTCTCTGTCGTTTTATTTGGAGGCTGGCGATGAGAGGGGCGCTGCAGCAGCTGCAGCAGCAGCTGCTGCTGCTGCAGCACTCGCGCAGCAGCAGCAGCAGCAGCAGACTTAAGGAGGAAGCTTTTAGGGCTTGGCTTTGCTGCTACCTGCCGCAGCAGCGACGCCTGAAGCAGCTCGGTGCTGTTGCTGCTGCAGTACGACAGCAGCAGCAGCAGCAACAGCAGCAGCAGACGTGGCTTATGTGGAGGCAGCAGCAGCAGCAGCACAGCGACAGCAACGCTCTGCGCCTTCGCCTGTTCACTGCGGTGCAGCAGCAGCGGCTGCAGCAGCAGGTGCTGCTGGTGCTGCAGCAGCACCGCTTGCAGCAGAAGCAACTGCGTGCTGCAGCAGCAGCAGCACAACGGCGTGTCTCTCTGCTGCTGCTGCATGCAGCAATGAGGGATTGGCGTGCTGCTGCAGCAGAAAGCAGAGAAGAAGCTGCTGCTGCTGCCCCCCAGCGGAGCGCAGCAGCGACGCTGGCCGTTGTGCGTTTCGTGGCGTTGCATGCACAGCAGCAGCAGCAGCAACAGCAGCAGCAGCAGCAGCAGCAGCAGCGGACGCTGGCCCACGCTGTGCAGCAGCTCAGCAGCAGCAGACAGTCACCGCCTTTTCCTCCTTTTGTTTCTCTGCTGCTGTCTTCCGTGCCCCTGGAGCTGCCTATACACCCCAAACGAATGCTGCAGAACGCCCCTCTTATTGCCGATACACTCAAAGCAGTATGCTGCTGCTGCTAGTGCTGCTGCTGCTGCTGCTAGTGCTGCTGCTAGTGCTGCTGCTGCTGCTACTGCTGCTGCTGTTGCTGCTAGTGCTGCTGCTGCTGCTGCTAGTGCTGCTGCTGCTGCTGCTGCTGCTAGTGCTGCTGCTGCTGCTGCTAGTGCTGCTGCGAGTGCTGCTGCTACTGCTAGTGCTGCTGCTAGTGCTGCTGCGAGCGCTGCTGCTACTGCTAGTGCTGCTGCTAGTGCTGCTGCTGCTGCTGCTAGTGCTGCTGCTGCTGCTAGTGGTGCTACCGGTGCTGCTGCTGTTGCTGCAAGCGTTGGTACTGCTGCTGTCGNGCTGCTGCTGCTGCTAGTGGTGCTACCGGTGCTGCTGCTGTTGCTGCAAGCGTTGGTACTGCTGCTGTCGCTGGTGATACTTCTGCTGCTGCTGCTGCGTCGGCTGCGCTGCACTTGTGCTGCTGCTGCTGCTGACCGCAGAGGCTGCTGCAGCAACTGCTGCTGCGTCTTGTTGCTGTTGCTGCTGCTGCTGCTGCTGCAGGAGTTTCTGCGTATTTCCTTCCGTTCATGGCGTCAGTGGGCTGCTGCTGCAGCTGCATTTCGGCAGCAGCAGCAGCAGCGTTTGCTGCGGCTTGCATTTGAGGGGATGATGGTTGTTGCTGCGCGGCAGCAGCAACTGCAGCAGCAGCAGCTAGCAGCAGCAGCAATCAGCAGCAAACTGCTGCTGCAGTCCGCCTGGAGACTGTGGCAGCAGCGCTGTCTTCGCTACTCTTCCTTCCGGCAGAGATGTCACGCCTTGCTGCAGCAGGTCTGCTGCTGCTGCTGCTGCTGCTGCTGCTGTTGCTGCTGCTGCTGCTGCTGTTCCTACTGATACTGCTGCTGCTGTTGTTGCTGCCGCTTCTTTCGTTGGTGCTGCTTCTATTGTCTTTCTGTTGCTGTAGCTGTGTTGGCGTTGTTGTTGCTGCTGCTGCTGGTGTTGCTGCTGCTGCCGGTGCTGCTGCAGCTCCAGAAGTTGCTGTTGCTGCAGCTGCTGCTATTGCTTACATTTAGCTGCTGCAGCTGTGTGGTGTTTCTGCTGCTGCAGCGGAAGGTGTATCTGCAGCAGCAAGCCTTCTCTAGCTGGCGTGTCTTTGCTGCAGCAGCNTGCTGCTGCAGCGGAAGGTGTATCTGCAGCAGCAAGCCTTCTCTAGCTGGCGTGTCTTTGCTGCAGCAGCAGCACAGCAGCGGCAGCACGAAGCAGCTGCTGCTGCAGTGCTGCGACGCAAGCGGCTGCAGCTCTTCTTCAGTTTGTTGCAGATGGTCTTTAGGGTGGGTCTCCGCACACCTAGCTAGCTAGCTAGCCAGCTAGCTATCAAGCTAGCCATCTAGCTAGCTATCTATCTGGCTATCTAGCTATCTAGCTACCTAGCTAGCTAGCTATCTAGCTATCTAGCTAGCTAGCTGGCTGGCTAGCTAGCTAGCTAGCTAGCTAAGAAGATAACCAGCTAGCTAGCTAGCTATACACAGCCACCAACCCACACAGTGCGCTCATCTCTATGTACCCAGCCTGAGGAGTAGCTAGCTGGCTAGCTAGCAGCAAGCTAACTAATCACAAAGTAGCTAGCTGGCTAGCTAGCTAGCTAGCTGGGTTGATAGGTAGCTAGCTGAGTAGTGTAGCTGGCTAGCTTGTAGATGCGTAGCTAGCTGGATAAAATACCGCCAGTTGCGTCTGCTGCCGAGCTGCTGCTGCTGCTGCTGCTGCTGCTGCTGCTGCTGCTGCGCTGCAGAAGCACCGCCGTGCTGCTGCCTGCAAGGAGGCCTCCACCCTACTGCAGCAGAAGCATTTGCTGCGCCGTGCATTCTTCTCCCTGAGAATGAACGTCGAGTCCGTCTCCTGCTGCTGCTGCTGCTGCTGCTGCTGCTGCAGTTGCTGCTGGTGCTGGTGTTGCTGCTGCTGCTGTTGCTGCAGTGCTTCCTGCTGCTTCAGTTGTTGTTCCTGCTATTGCTGCTGTTGGTGCTGCTGCTGCAATTGCTGCTGGTGCTGCTGTTGGCGCTTTCCTTCTGCTGGGCGTGGGCTGCGGCTCGTGCTGCTGCTGCGGTGTCTGCTGCTGCTATGGTTGCTGCTGCTGCTGCTGCTGCTGCTGCTGCTGCTGTTCTGCTGCATGCAGGGAGGAGAAGAAGCTGCGAGAGGCGCGGCGTGTTTGTCAGCTGCTGCAGCAGCGGCAGCTGCTGCGGCTGTGGTGGACTGTTGCTGCTTCTGCTGCTGCGCTGCAGCAGATGGCTGTGCTGCTGCAGCAGCGGCGAGAGAAGCAGCAGCTGGGTTTCCTTTTTGCTGCTTGGCGGGCAGCAGAAGGCCGACGGAAGCTGCTGCGGCAGCAACAGCTCTTGCTGCAGCAGCAGCAGCAGCAACTGCTGCTGCAGCACGTCATGCATGTGTGGAAGCAGCGGCTGCAGCAACGCAGACAAGCAGCAACAGCAGCAGCAACAGTTGCTGCTGTCTGCAGCCGCATGCTGCTGCGCTGCGGCTGGCAGGCATGGAAGCAAGCTGAGAGGCTGCAGCAGCAAGAAGCAGCACTGCAGCAGCAGCAGCAGCAGCACAGCAAGCGGCAGGTGCTAGACGCTTGGATGTCTCTTCTGGTGTCAGTCAGGCTGGTGAGCTGCTGCTGCTTCTCCCTTTCCTGCTGCTGCGCTTCGTGCTGCTCTGTTGCTGCTGTTGCTGCTGCTTTTCCTGCTGCTGCTGCTGCTCAGCTGTTGCTGCTGCAGCTCCGTTGTTGGTGTTGCTACCTTGTTCTTGCCGCTGCTGTGGTGTTGCTGCTGCTGCTGGTCGTGCTTCTACTTTTGTTGCTGCTGCTGCGGTTGCTGCTGCTGTTGCTGCAGCGGGTCTTGCATGCGCGAGGGTTTGTGCTGCAAGCGGTGCTGCTGCGGCTGCTGAATGCGTGGAGGCGGCGGGCAGCAGCTCGACGCAGCAGTTTGCTGCTGCAGCAGCAGCAGGAGAAGGGGCGACTTGCTGCTGCTTTCACAGGCTGGCAGCAGCAGCAGCAGCAACAGCAGCAAAGGAAGCTTCGGTTGCAGCAGGGCCTCGAGTTGCTGCAGCAGCAGCAGCAGAAGAGGCTCCGTGCTGCGATTCACCGCATGCAAGAAGCAGCAGCACGCAGTCCGCTGGAGCAGCAGGCAGCAGCAGCGCTGCAGCGGCGGCAGCAGCAGCAGCTGCTGCAGCAGACATGGAGACGGTGGCAGCAAGCTTCTCACAAGCAGCAGCTGCTGCTGCGTCTGGGGGCCCTTGCTGCTCGGTGCAAGGCTCGGCTCGCGCTGCAGCAGCTGCGCATGCATGCTGCTGCTGAGGCAGCACTGCAGCAAAGCATTCTCCCCTTCTGTCAGAGCAGCAGCAAACTGCTGCTGCGCCGCTGCTTGCTGCAGTGGGCTGCTGCTGCAGCGCGACAGCAGCAGATGCAGCAAGCAGCAGCCAAAGTCGTGCTGCTGCTGCAGCAGAAGCATCAGACAGCCCTGAGAAGACAATTCACTGCGTGGTGGGTCCTGCAGCAGCAGCAGCAGCAGCAGCAGCAGCAACAGCAGCAGCAGCAGCAGCAAGATTTCCTGCTGCTGCACAAAAAGCAGCAGCAGCAGTACCCGGTCGCTGCAGCAGCGGATGCTTTGTTGCGTTCCCTCGTAGTTCTGTGAGCTGTCTTGCTGCTGCTGCTGGCGTTGCTGCTACTGTATCCCTTGCTGCTGC